GGAATGATTTGAGGTCTGGAAAGCCTGCCTTACAGTGAAAGGCTAAATAATCTCAATCTATTTATCAGAAAGCAGCGGTTAAGTGGTGATTTGATCGTGATCTGCAAGTACCTACATGAAGATTTCTGATTGCAAAGGGTCTTTAATATAGCAGACAAAAGCATAACAAGATCCCATACCTGGCAGCTGAAGCTAGACAAACTCAGACTAGAAATAAGGCTCAATTTTTTACCAGCTGAAACAACTTACCCTCGAATATAATAGATTCTCCATCACTTAAAATCTTTAAATCAAAACTGGCTACCCTTCAGATAGCTCAATCTGAAGTCAAGGGCTTGATGCAGGAATCACTTGGTGAAAGTCAATGGCCTTTGTCATTCATTGATAATAGTTCCTTCTGGCCTTAAAATCATGAAAATAATTACTTAGGTGTATTTGCACTTTTGGGGAGGGACCCCGCAGTTCTTGCTCAGATTAAACTTCCACTTGCGATTTTCACTGGGAGTTTTGCCTGAAGAAGACTGCATGATGAAGCCTAAAATATTTACCTCCTGAAATTTAGTTCTGAAGTTGCCTGGTAGCCATCAAAGAATAGTTGCTGCAGATTTCAAATTCTTCCTGGACCTTACACAAAAACATGTAAGTTCTAGAGGTAAACTTGAACTTTAGAGAATGTTCAAGACAAAACATGGAAACAGCTTCCAAAACCATGGGGAACAAATTTCAGCACATTCAAAAGCAGGCGCTAATCTGATAGCTCTCAGAAGTCAGGAAGGAGTTCTGCTGCTTTAAAATGATACTGTTGTCTGGGCTCTGGAGAACAACTAGGAGGTTTGAGCTGTGCTTCCAGGTGCACTCAATTCCTAAGCTTTGCAGGTGTTTACAGTGTTATTTGCAATCAGAAACTTTATATTGTATGCCAGATCTCCATAGAAGTTTTCTGGTGAGAAATATATTGGGCCATAATCATCTCTAGTGTAACTCTGCTGAAGGTAATAGAGTTATACTAGGGATGATTTTGTTCCAGTGTACTCAGCACTCTGCTAAATGGAATTTGAGGAAGCCACGGAATGTCAATAGTGCACTTTAATCTTTACAATCCAGGATCCCAGAACTATATCTTACTTATTATTCCTGCTTTTTTTCTCCATGTCTATATCTTTTAAAGTGTCTAAAGTTTAACGAGCTTTTACAATACAAAGAATTTGCACAAAACTCATCATTCATAAATATTGTGTAATATTATACAAGTGTATTTTTAATATTTATGTTTAAATTATTGGGTTGAGCTTCTTAATGTAGCAATCCTTGTTTTGACAGACATCCTTGCATGCATATCATTTAAGACTATCCATCACTTTCTTCACATCTTAAACTAGGATTGATGCCACGTTGAGTGAGATGGTGGATTTTAATTTCCCAAATTTCACCTTCCAAGCCACTATACCTAAAAGATCTTAACTTTATTACTGTTTTCCAGTGCAGACTGCCTTTGGGAAACAGTGCTTTCATTCACTTTCTCTGTCAGTTTGAGAAACCAATTTCATAAACTACATTTTCCTTTGCATTTCTGTCCCTGACCTATGACTGAGATCTGAAAAAAATCATACTTGTAGCCATTCCTCATGCTAGAATATTGACACTACCATCTTGTCTGCATTATCTCAGTATTTCCTGTTTATTAGTGGCATGTTGTTACCTAAACTAACCTGTAAACTGACTAAAACTGACACTGGGCACAGAGGATCTAAGAAATCTTTTATAGGCACTGGCTTTGTGGTTAAAAAAATGAAAAATCTTGGAGATTTATTTTAAAATTTTGCTGGGAATTTGTAATGTATTCCTGTGGCTTAATCTTTTTATTTAAGTGCCCCTTCTGAGGTTTGAACAGCACATTTGTGTGTTCTCAGAAAGAAAAAAAATTGTTTAAACTAAATTGCTGGGCCTTTCCCAAAATATTTAAGTACGGTCATAGAAATGTAGAACTGGAAGGGACCTCAATAGGTCCCTGAGCTACTATAGCAATAATGATCATAGGCATGCACAAAGTGATGTCAGTATTTTCCAGTTATTCTTGAAATGTTTAACTGAAGATTTCCCTGTAGAATTTTCTGACATGGACTTTGTACTGACAAACCAGCCTGCAAATACCTTTTTTTAATATAGCTACCAGATACATTTCTATTTAAGAAACCTAATTAACTCTTCATGTGCTACAGTATACCTATTTTAGTGCAGCCAAGTTTTCACTTGGTATAATTTAAACCCAGTACAAGGGTGTTGCCCTCCCCCAAGACAAGTAATATTACAAAGTATATTTTTGTGTACCAGAATGTTCACTGGAGGAGTTTAGCTGAAAGTTCCATTAAGCTTTTCCTGTTTGGCAAGTATAAGCAATTCCTAAGTATAGGAATTGTTACAATACTATGTGGGGGTGGGGGGCGAGACTATTCTAGGACATTGGTTGTTTTTTGTCTGTAAATTTTAAGAAAGCTTATTTATCTAGTGCTCATGAAGCTTGATTTTTCTACTTCAGTAATTACTTTTTAATCTACTTGAATATAGAAATAACCCATCAATAAAATATTAGAGGACATCTGATGAAAATATGTGGAGGCTTAAAAAAAAAAAGATATTCCAGACATAAAAAATGTTAGAAAATATAGCTTAAATTTAAACTAATTAAATAGATTTTAAATGAAATACAGCTTTTACTGTTAAGTGCTAGATTTCTCCCCCAAACATTAGACAAAGTTGCATTGTTTACAAAAATTTATTAATACAAACTTTACACACTTTATATAACAGTTATCAAAGTCCTAGTTATATATATCATGTGTGTAATAATACTTTAAGTTATTTTTATATTCAGTTGCACACAAAATAAGATCTGCACGACTAACATCTACCTAAATTATCACTGTATCTCAAATCTGCTCCGTTTTAGTAAGGCTGTTGGCTTTTCTAAAAATTATACAGAGGATAACCTATGTGATCACTTTATAATGCTTGCAACTAGCCACTGAACTCGAAATGATAGTTCATAAATAAAACGTCAATAGAGCCCTATTTCATTATACCACAGCTGACACAAATACAGCAACGTCTGCCGATTATCCAAGAACAAATAATTAAGACTAAAATGCAAGCTGATGTGTTGCAGCATTGTAGGGCCACTAAATAGCCATCTGTGAATTCGTGGCGATTTAAAAGGCGAAGAAAGGCACGAAACGCTGCAAACTGCATCCTGCGTCACATTGCCTGAGGAGAATGCAAAATTAAAGTAAGATTGATTTCATACACACTTCTCAGGCATAGATCGAATGCCTATGTGCTAGCACTGTTTGCAATAAGCTCCGCTGGCACTCGCCATCCAGCCTGGGATTGCAAACTCAATTCTGTTTTCTTTGATTTATTACTTTACACTGATCAGACTGGTAAAGGAAAATGAAAAGTCTTTTAAATTTTACAAGTGGCTTTTCTTTTTAAGCAACTGAAGACTGTAATTTAGGGCTGGTTATTTTCCTTCAAAAGATTCCTCTAGAATATGGTTAGGGATCTGAAAGGAAACATACGTACATGTCCTCTTTAGTCACCTTTCAAGGCGAAGGAATGGAAAGTTCCCTCGGGCAGGTTTGGTTTGTCTTTTCCCCAGAAGGTAAGCTATTAATCCGTACATATAAAGATGAGGTTGAAATGATTCATCGGTTATTAGAAACTACACATTCTATTATGACAAAAGTTTGTTTTATGAAATAAATTTTACTAAGCAATAAGCCATAATGTAGAAAAATACATTTTACCTCCAAACTCAATAAACAAGAACAAAACTTTAGTTGTAGTGCATAATTATTTAGTGGTAGCTACAACAGGGGTTCCTAAACTTTTACAATAAGAGCTTGCATCAAACAGAACGAAAGAGTGAGAGGCGTTCACAACCTTAAATTGAAAATAATAATAATAATAATAATAATAAGTGACTCAGATGGGAAACCGTGCTTAAATAGTGCAAGACAGGTCGGGAGGGGGAAGGGTCTACAAGAAAACAACAAAGGAAAGGAGCAACTCCGCTTGAAAAATTCAAAGGAGAGAATCCTGGTCATTTCACATGATGAGAGGCATGGACAGCACTGGAGAGTAACACATTATACTTTGCATCAAGTTCCAATACCGAGCTGCCGACGGTCAGTTAGGTAGTGGATCTAAAGTGGAATTGTCTCATGTTACCCAGACCCTCTAGCAGTCTAAAACCACGCATTCATAAGGGGCACCTCCTCTCTGATCTGTGCTCTATCGCTTCCAGTATCGAAATTTCAAATGGTTTCCAATCGCTCTAATTTCTGGTTGCCTTTGTTCTGTAGCTATGCCCAATCAGAAGAACAATGAATGGGGCTAAATATTTTTCCCCCTCCAATTGTCAGAGATGCACAATTTTGACAGAGCTGTTTCACCACAGGAGAATTATCTTCTAAGCTCAGTGTTTGAGAGACACAAATACATATAAAAGTGGAACCAAAGAAAGCAGAAAAATTGAAATCTCTCGCAAGGGGGAGGCAGTGCCCCCTTAAAATAGGCTAGTGGTAAAGGAGCCTGTCTTGAGACTCACGGGGGGAGGGGGTAAGAATCTGCTTCAGCAATTCTTCCAAATCATTATCACCATAATCCCCTTGTAGCGGGGCATCAGTGTCTATGTACAGTAGCAAATGGTGACTATTAATGTCTTCGACCCTGTCGTGGATAAAAATACTATCCTTTTAATTTCACTTACAAAAATAGGAGCAATATTCAAACAATGATTGTCTTTTTTCTATTTATTTTATATAAAAACATAAACAGCTCAGGCGAATTTTTTTGTTCTTGTGCAGGCTTTATATGAAGAATTGTTCTCTATCAGTAGTATTTATATATATATATTTATATATTATATATAACTTAATGATTGGTCCACAAAGTAGATCTGTGCGTTTCTCTAGTGCTTTTATACAAAAAGAAAAACAATATTATTATCAAAATATTCATTTAATGGCTTTACTTCATACATAAATACATGTTTAGATAACACAGGAGCGGTGATTGTTCAGTCACTTTGGAAATGACTTTTGTTTTCTTTTTTTAGGGGCTCTGTATACACAGGAGTGGTGGGTTACTCAGCGCTACAAATACGCTACTCGGCGTCCTTTGTTTTTAACTCTTTGTTTATACCTTTTCCCCAGGACCGCTGCCAAGTATTTCTTGACAGCCATTTGTTTCCGGTAGCGGCTGTAGCTGTCTGTGAAGATGCCATCCGAGTGCCGTTTGGAGAGCGGTTCCGAGTCGTCCTCCAGGCCGCTGGCACCGCTGCAAAGCAAAGGACAATTGCAACATCTGGATCCATTCCCCTGTCCTGCCTGCACTTTGGAGGCCTTCCCTGCTTTGCATTTTGGCTCTGGTAACTCCGGGGCTGCTTTAACCTTTCCAGATTATTATGATTATATGTCATTTAGGGAAAGCTGTATTTGTTTTGTTTGTTTTTCCAACGCTATTCGATCTGGGGGAGGGCGGGAATGAAGAAACTAAAGCAACATGTAGACATCAGGGAGGCAGAACGAAACAAAGAATCTATCTAAACACGCGGTGAAGTTGATATCTGATCATAATATAAGCCGACAGTCGGGAGACAATATATTCATGGCATGAATTATTCATTATGAAAATGTAATCTATTTCCCCATGGGCTTTATTAAAATGTTACCTTCTGCCGAAATGATCTTCATTACGCTGGGCTTGCCGTGTGCCAGGATGTCTGACTTTAAACGCGTTTTGTTTAAGCCCCGCTTGTGGTAAATTCTATTCTTTACAATGGAGAGCTCTCTTAAAATACCCAGATCTACACTTACAACTTATCTCTTGTTGCGGTTCTTCCCACCGACTATAGCTGAATCTCTGGGCTACTGAATCAATGGGCTACTGGACTTTCTTTACAATGACCAGCTTTTTATCATCAACTAGCTATCACTGTACCTTTCACTTGGGGTCAGAGAATGAGATCGAGCAAAAACCCTGGTGGATTTTGACATTTTCAAACTGGGTGTGTTGCTTAGTGCGCGAAACACCAACCACACAGCGAGCGTAACAATTATACACCGGTGGTACATTACGCGTGGTTTAATAGAAAGATGAAATAAACAACAAATAAAAATCTTACCCCACCCGTTTGGCCATCAAAGAATGCAGGTATTTCCGAGCGGATAGCTGACCCAGGACTCTCCTGTAGGCTTTGTTAAATATCCCATCGGCGTGCCTAAGTAGGAAACAAAGATCAAACACAGGAAGAAAGATCAGTGTCCAAGCCTGGGGACCGGACCTCAGCAGCCCCTCACTCCAAGGAGGGATGGCGGAAGGAAGCCCCTGGCTGGCTGGTGGCTTTATGTACCCTGAGTGCAGAGGGCGGCCTCCGCCTTAGGACCCCCAGGGACAGCAGGGCCCTCCCAGCACTGGCACTCCCAGCCACCAGGCTCATTTCCTGAGCGCAGCGCTCGCCTGGCGCGTCTGGCGTGTTTCCCGGAGTGCCATCACTAGCCTTCCGCGGACAGCCTGCTTCCCCACCCCTCCCCCGCCTGCTTGGAGGTAAGGGGCGCTTTTCATCTCCTCGAGTCTTTATTCGGGCGGCAGGGCACGGAGGGAGAGATGTGTTGCGGCTCTTTTGAATGGGATTTACCAGGATCGTTTTGCTCCAGCTCAAGTCATGCGCCCACCAAGGGGCTCCCACATAATCACCTCTTTTCCGGTGGGTAGTACAGGGTGTACATGTCGTCTATCATGGAGGAAGGGTTCGCTATGCCAAGGGGGTCGTTGTCAAAGGCGAAATCCTGCAGCGTGTTTCCATCCTCGTCATACACTTCATCTTCCAGCCTAGCCCGGAAAGCAAAGGGCAAGAATTCAGACGCATGTGGCGGTGCCTCCTGAGAAATCCTACATATAGGAGCATTTGATCAGTGTTATTCAGGGCTACTCCTCTGCCTGGGACCTATTGGGTTTCAATATGGGCACTTCCGAGGCTGGACTGAAGGCCCTGCTAGAGGAGCCCACAGGCAAGATTACACCTACCCCTCTATTCCCCCCCCCCTTAATTTCATCCCCCCGTCTCCGCATCAGTGTAAGATCAGGCGCGAGAGAAACACACAAGCAAACCAACCTGCTGCTAGACTGGGGCCAGAAACAAGTCCAGGGGCTGCCAAGGAAGCAGCTGATCACTACCCACCTTTCCCAGCACGAATCCTGATCGCTTTCCAAACTACATACCCAGGCGCGGGGGGTGCGGGGAGGGGGGCTATAAGTTAAGCGAGACAAGAAGAACAGAGCTTCCCACTGTAAGGTACCCGCTTTCTCTAGTCCCCCCTCTCCCCCGAGAGATCAGAAGCTCTGCCGTTAGCAAATGACTGCTCCTCCTTTCTCACAGCAAGTGGGATCGGGGTGGGGCTTGTGTTTGTTTGTGTTTTTCGTTGAATGGTGTCTCTGTCCTTGAAGATCGCTTGAGTTTTGTTTTCCCTCTCTCTGTGTGTGTGTGTCTCTGCTGCAAGATGTAGGTCATTGAACGTTTCAGGCAGCTATTTTTGTCTCCGAGCTCTGGCAGGGAGATTAATAATAGATGCGTGTAAAGTGTTTCGCTCCTGCTAATTCAGGCGCTTGAATGAACCGAACCAGGTCCCCTCAAACGAATGGCCCCACTCACCCCACTTAACGCCCTCTGGAAGGACTGGCCATTTATGCAGGGACGGCTCCCCCCAGCTCTGGCAGCCGGGGACCCTGCGGCGAGGCTGACCTGAATCCCAAAACCCCGGGTAACGCTTTGGGTCGTTTAAGGCCATTCCGGAGCGTGTGCTGCCCCGCACCCAAGGGCGAGCTCCGACCGTTCACATGCGCTCCAGAGTGAGTTTCGCAGTTCAGATGTTGCATGCACATTAGGGCTGAACCACGAGAGTGTCCCCTGTGGGACTTGGCAGAATAAATAGAGCTGCATAATTTTCCGAGGGAGCTAAGATGGGTGGATCGGAAAGCTCCCCCGTTCTTCTGTTGTAAGAAGCGCTGCTCGTTAAGGGAAGCCAGATTTACAGCAGGCTAGAGCCAGAAGTAGATGGATTGCCGCTGTGTAAAGCTTCACTCCCTCCTATTAAGTGGGGAATCGTCCTTTGTTGTATAGGTTTGGACTGGGGGCTGCCCCTACACTCGGTTCAATAGGTGACGCTAGTTCTGAAATCCTGGCAGCTCTGCTCCAGTGTGTTAACAATCCTGCTCCGAATCAAGTGAGCGCGAGAGAGTTTTACGGAATCCTGAACCTAAATCTCAGGAAGAGTGAGCCGGATCACGCTCTGCCCTGAGTACTACAGTAACCCCCCTCTCCCCTCCAGCGAACTTTTTAAAAAGATCCGGAAAATAGTACTTAAAGTACTTTAACCAATAACACAAGTTGGGGGGCAGATTCAACCCTGCTCTGATACAGGAACTTAATTCTAGAACATATCTAGAGCTATATTAGAGAGAGAATAGAGAGGGATATTATATGTGTTGTAAAACTAAGTTTTATCTATATCTACACATATTCCTTAATACCTGGTAAACCCTTCTGCCAGAAATGTGTCATTACAATCTTTTTCTAACGGTATGCTTCAAAATGCTTTCATCTAGGTATTGTCTATCCTGGAAGCAGCTGTCAACTCTATTTTAGCAGGTTATCGCCACTCAAGTTAGGCTCAGAGGTGGCCGGAAATCTCTCTCTATATAATGTGTTATTGCACTGTGGTGCATATAGAAAAATGGATCCACTAAAAGGCTAATCAGCTTTTTACTATAAGGCTTACGCTGCCTTCTGAGAACTATGCTTCATTCAGGACCCCAGTTAACAGAAATCGAATAGTTTCACCAAGACCAAAGTCAGAGGTATTCTCTAGTATTTAAGAGAAAAGGGGATAAGAATAAGACACGCGGGTGTAGGAAATAATACAGCGTAAGATCCTTCAGGCTAACAAGACTTGATGGAAGAAAGGGGCTAGTCCATTAAACCCTCCATCTCCTGGAGATCATAAGAATCTATTCTAGTTTCCCTGCCACAGGACTTTTAATCAAGCAGCCTCAGTCCCCAGTCTCTTTTCCCCGCTCCCCAAGAAGGTAGATGGGGTCGGCAAATAGGAGGCGGTGGGGTTTTGCGCTTTAGTTTTTCTTTCTGGATGCTTTAAATTGCTTGGAAGAGCTCTACTCCGTTAGCAAGAGAGGGAGAGTAAAAGCTACCAGGCACAGAGTCCAGGAGACAACTACCTGCCAATGCTCTCTGCTGTCTATTACCAAGATGCAGGGACATAACTGACGGGGAAAGCCAGGGATGCGAGTCTTGCAGGGATTAGGAAGAGGGAGGGATAAAGAAGGCACCTACCTTAGCGCAGGGTATTGAAATCCAGCAGCAGGTGAGCAGTAGACGCTGCAGTGCATTATTATCCCATAGACCAGTAGTGCTAGGATCGCTTTGCTACACATTGCCACTCTGTGTGTAAGGGAAGAAAGAAAAAACAGCTGTCAAAATGCTCTCCTCACTCTCCCTTTCCCCTCTAGCTTTGCCACGAGCAAAATCTAACCCGTTAGAAATCAAGTCTTAAGTGTGCTCGATTTAACAACAACAAAACGTGTGCGCGATTTGTGTGGAGCCGTTTGTCTTCAATTACAACCAGACACAACCCCCACTTCCCAGCACACAGGCGCGTACACACACACGCACACACACACACACACAAGTGCCTGGGCTAACGAAACCCGATCTCTCCGGTTAAAGCGCTCAGATGCCTGCGATACATTTTCCTTACCATTAAACTCTTAACACCCGGCACTAAGAGCGTTTGGCTGCGCAATTAAAAGGTAGATTTTAAAAAACAAAACAAAAAAACTGTCTCCCAAGTTTCAGCCGAAATAGTTAAAACTCTTGTGTCATCGCCTCTCTGACGATCAAAGAAGCCGAAGGCAGAAGAGCAGCAGTTACTTGTCTGCTGGTTTAAGGGGATCCGCTCAAAAAAGTTTGTAGGTAGCAGCCAGCACAGATCTGGAGTGGAGTCTGTCAGGGAAGGGACAGCAAGAAAGAGGGAGTAAGAGAAGGAGACAGAAGGGAGAAAGAGAGAAAAGAACACAAGAATGGGGAAGAGAAAGCCAAGGAGAGAGAGAAGCAGGCTGTGCTGGAGCTGCTGTCAGTGAGATGTTCTCTTCCCCAGATCTTTTCCTTCACTGAGATGCTTCTCGCTTCAGCTGCTGCTTTCTCCTTCTTCTTGCTCTGTGACTTCAAAGTTGACCAGCCTTCCGCAGCTCGTTTTTTTATGCAATTAGCAACAAAATCTTTGCAAACACCCTGCTTTATCAAGAGCCCTCCTTGTAAACATCGGTCTGCATGTTACCTTTAAGGGCGGCAGTATTGTTTGTTGCACTGTTGTGGCGTTCGGATTTTTATTCATGAATCAAATGAGGTTTTTTTTTTCAGTCACGTAATAATCGGGTATCAGAAAAGACGTCACCACCCCAATTCCTCAAGGAACATAACAATTCTGTGCCGTCCTCGCGGATGATCTGATCGAGAGTCATAAGCTTCTCATAAACACTTTAACTCACACTTTTTTTTTTTTTTACTACAGAGGTCTAGAAGATTTAATGCTTGTCGAGTTCTCCCTGATTCAAGTTGTGGGGAGGGATAATAGGCTGCTGAGGAAATTTTAGGCTTTTTACAGACCCCATCCTCAATTGTGGTCTCAGCAGCCTAACCACAGAGCAGCTCTGTTTGAAAAGATGAGCTCTGATGTGATAACTTCTGTATAAATTCGTTTGGCAAAGCCCAGGGTTCTAATGTGGTACATATGTTCCCTTCAACGGGGCAATTAAATAAAGAAATACGCTAGCGTTCTTACTGTTGTTGTTATTGTTATAAAGGCTGTTTGAAGTCTTGGAGGCTTCTCAGTAATTTTCTAATTAGAGTTTGTAATTGACAGTTGCTGGCTGGTGGGTGGATTGATTAGCTGAAGGCTCCCAGCGTGGAGCTATCCAAACTCTGCGGTGCTGAACTGGGGAAATGTGGCAACCAAAAGACTGACTTGGAATAACATTTTCACCATTTTTTTTTATGCAGAGCTCCCAGATGGGTAGAAGAAAATTAGCAATGCCATAATTCAGCCTATACAATTATGATGTCTCACAATCACTGTAGCAACAAAATATTTACAGCAAGCTATAGCGTGTCGTCATATTTTTCTGTGCGTGGGATTGGAAAACATCCCTTACTATTTGGGAAAACACGCCACAGGGTCCGATACTGTCCTTTATTTGATGATAGTGCGTATTAATTTCGGCCACAAACATCCCCATTAGAGGACTGAAATGATTAGAAATTCGCAAGCCCTGATTCACTTGTCACTGACAAGAACGGAGCGCAGCACATGGTACTTTTCAGGTCTAATTTTCACTGTGTCCCTTTCCCTTCCTGTCTACTGTCTGCGATTTGAGCTCCTTGCAGGGCAGCACAGGCGGACTGGAAAAGAGAGAGGATTTCCATTAAAAGTTCATTTGCTGAGGGACTCTTAAGGGAATCCCTCCGTTGGGAGGTCTCAATCCACCGATATTATCTTACTGAAAATGACGTGGAAGCATGAAAGCGCTGTGGGAAGACCACCGTCTGGTTTCCAAACCTCTTGATATTTCGGTGATCTTCTTGCTCCCCCTCAACTGTAGACATTCAGATTCATTTCCGAGAATTACCCAAAGAAATACAGACTGCAGGAGCCATTACAGTGCATTTTAATTATTTGGCTCATCAGCAGAGAATTCAGGAAGCAGCAATAATTTAGTCCTCCTGTTTCCTATTTCAATGGTTTGGATGAAACATGTTTAAATGAGCTATTTGAGCTCAAATCGATTTCTCAAAAACATACAATTACAATCCTATTATGATCATTGAAGATTTCAGTATTTTCCCGGGGGTTCAGGAACTGGAACTTGAATGAAGTATTCCCTTAGCAATGGTAAGCTATGCGATTATGGAAAGGCTTAATATATAATACAACATTTGTATACACAATTATTTTATAAACACTATGTTAAATACTGTAATAGCCCTTTGGTATTTGGCAAATAACTAAAAATCTAAAACTTCAAGGATCCAATAATACTATAAGAATCAATGGGTGGGTGTTTTTTTCCTAAGGGGAAAGAATAGCTACTTGTTCTGATGATGAGGGGTTGCCTTGATAATGTTGGGGTGAACCTATTAAAACTTCTACTCTTGCTTCTCCAATGAATTCCAAACTGTGTTGGATATAGAGAAATACCGGAATACGTTTAAGAGTCTCCGGAAAAGGACACTCAGTGTAAGTAGAGGGTGCCATCGTGTGGGGACTTCGTTGTTTTCATGACCTATTAAAGAAAAAATATATTTGGGGCCAAATCCTGAAGCACTCATTCAGTCTTTGCTTAATACGTATTCAGGTAAAAATCACAGAGGCCAGAGGAGTTTTGCCTGAACAAAAGCCGAGTGACGGCTTCGAGGTTTGATTTACAGCGAATATATTTATGCATAAACTCCCTTTAATTTATTCTTGCCCTCCAGATCCCTCAGCAGCTTGGAACAGATGTCATATTATTAAATCAACCTGCCAGGGAAATGTTTCCTCATTATCCCCTCCCACCTCATATGTGGAATTTTTCTCCAAAATTACCCTGGCCCCAAATCGAGGATGGCAAGATCCAGGCTTGGGCTAATAACAGCTTTTCTAGCACAAGAATGTCATGGCTTTAAGCCTGATCGCTTTCATTCTTGAGAGAGAGAACAATGAGCTCTATAGGGTTGGGAAAGGAAGATTTCCCCTGTGCCGAAGTGACAAGAATCCACTATATTAGACTTAAAAGATATTTTAGGTGATTTTTATTTATATGTATTCAATTGTTTTTCCTCCCTCTGACTCTGCAGTGGTAAGCAGGGTAACTAAAGCATCTACCTATCCAGAGAGAGGGGACAAGAAATACAAATGAAAAAAATTAAACTTTCGAACATTTTATTTTTTCCCTGTAATCTATATAGCGTATCCAGAATAAACCTTAGCATGCTATGGTAAAAAGATTTATGGACGCTCATTTAAGGGGAGCTGCAAAACTCACAAATGTCTCCTGAGAAATCCAATGATCCCAAATTCATGCCAATAAAAACCTGTGTAGCACACCGCTCCATCATGTATACCATTCATGTGCAGGCACATAATATACACATACTACATTAGCAGTCTAGGTTGAAACAACAATAAAGGTTTGATTTTGGCCTGCCGAAGAAAGTAGATTCCAAGCTAACTCTGTAATTTGAAAGGGATTTAAGATTCCAAATATTTGATCTTGAGTATCACATATGAAGCAACATCTGCACACAAACAAGTGAGCTAAGACTTTGGTGGCAGAATTTTCTTCACCTTCCTCCTATCACCTGAAATTAATCATTTTAATTTACCTGAATGCATCCTTTGTTTTTTCAAAATATTTCACAAAGTATATTTTTACATTTCCATAGATATTTTAGTGGAGTTATAGATCCTCTAAGCCTGACACAATATGAATGTACTAACACCCTGAGGTGGATATCTCTAAGGTTGTGGTGGTGGTGTCATAGATTTTCATTCAATTGTGCATATTTCATACTTGTCTACATATGGTGGCTAGTGCTTGAAGGGTAAATTTATTCATTTTTCAAACCCTTTTTTAGATCTAAAGGCACAGGACTTTATGACAACATCAGAAGCAAACCTTGTTATCAGTCTACAAGCCAGGAAGAAATCATATGCATATATGGAGCCACAGCCATGCTTTCCCAGCAAGCCTACCCTTTGCTATGTTTTCCACAGAAACTTGGACTGCAGTATTTGGAGCCTCTGGTTTCTCCATAAAATACCACCAGTACGTTTAAAATACAAAAGAATTAATTCTTCCTCACAAAAAAATCACACGTGACAAAAGCACAAATTCTCCAGGGGGTTTGATCCAATACCATGTCTTTTACCAAACCTAATGCATCACACATCATTGTATCAGTGTCAAAACAAGCAGCTTAAAGCCATTCTGTACTTTCTGAGCAAAGCGCCTCCTTCCAGTTTTGAATCTCCTCTGCATAGTGATAAACCACAACAATTCCTCTCTCACCCACAGGACACCAACTCATCATGTACAAACCTTAGTCTTTTAACCACAGCTCCATTCCCCTTTGCAGAACTCCCTGGGAAATAGATGGAGTACTATTCTAGCTAGCACCCTCTTGCACAGTTTGCACTGAAGTTCATAACATCTGATCTACTACAAAAGGCTTCATCTCTCGTACCTAACTGTCCTTCGGAGAATCAGGCCAAATGATTCAGACAAGCATACAAAGGACAAACCAAAGAAGAGTTATTCATGGCATAATACTTTATTACTACTAAAACTCCCAAGTGAATAAAGGATAAAATAGCACCTTCTGGACTAACAAAAATATGTACACTGGGCCCATTTCTGCTGCTCTTAGTTACTCGGGATTAAACATAGGTGTAATTGCACTGAAGGGAATGGGACAGATCCTTTCTTCAGACAACCACTCTATGTCTCTCTTTCCTCTTCAGTCTCCTCCTGCCCAGAGGTAGGTTCACATTCCACAAAAGAGAAGAGTTTATTTGTTTTTTTCTTGGCATTTTTCTGATAATTGAACCTTATCTGATCTGAGGGGAAGAGACTCAGAGAGAAACTAAAAAATGGAAAATCACATTCAGCAGCAACTCAGGCCATTCCAAAGGTGTTTCATGCATGAAGACTTACAACTCATTTCTTCACCCATAAGATTGGACATTATGAACTTTGGTACACGCTGCCCAGCAGAACACTAACAATCCATTAGTGCCCCCATCCATTTCCTATGGAGCTGAGAATACAAAGAATCTATGCACAGGTCTAATAAGGCATCCTGAGTTCTGCAGTTCCTTTCTCCTGTGTTACCACTTTTCTCTGTCTTATCCTAAGTATCTTCAGCAAGATTACTCTCAGTTAGGGGGGCTTAGATGTCAATGAGGCCATCTGGGTACCTGATGACTTTTTCTCTTTCTTTTCCTACTGTGCATGTACATAACGTGTAATGTGTTATGTGTTATGTGTATTTGTAAGAGGTTTCAATAGGTTTTGTACAAACAAAAGGCCAGACACTGAAATTTCCAGCAGTATAAGACATCCAACACTGATGGAGGTCCTGTAGATGAGTGGAGCAATGAGGAGTTTAATAATTATCTTTAATGTGCACTAACAGCTAATCATACCTAAAATAGATCCGAAATAATGATCCGTTGCCAAGGACCTGATCCTATGGGGAGCTGAGCACTTCCATTGGGGT